TAAGCTCAAAACAGTTTTTTATGCAACGATAGAGAAAACAATGCTCTATTTTTCAATCCTATTTGATCAATCTTCAACTATAATCATAATAGTAAAATTTTGCTAAGAACTGTTTCTGTATGAAACTTGAGTCTGTTTAGAAAATAATGACCGTCAGCATTTTTGCAATAACTCAAGAATGGAAAGCGCTAGAGAGCTGCAGTTTTCGTTGTTTGAAAGAGGAGAAAAAGATGCATCGAATTGTTTATTACAAGTTTTTCTAGTATGCTGTCTGAACTTTGCTTAACAGCCACCTCTCCCTCAGAAATGAACTTTTTTATTTTTCCGTCAAATTCAACCAAAATTTCAGAGAATGTTAGTCTTGGCTAGAGTAGATTATGGTTAAAATATCCCCTTATATCTGGGAGATATTCATGAATTATAGTCAATTTATTGATCAAAAATACCTTGTACGCGGGCAAGGTTGTCACAATCAGGATCCGAACTAACATGACGGAACTGTTTTTAAGTTATAGAGTATCCTTGGCGCTAGATCCTAATAGAGCCCGATTTTTGAAACTTCCTTTGTGTGTTCTATAAAAAATGTTCTCTGAAAAAGTCTCGAATTCATGTCCAAAATAATCGCTGATAAAAATGGGATATGTAGATTTTTTATTTCACCCATAGGGAAATTCAATTATCGGGTTCTATTAGGATCTAGCCCTAACTGTCCTCTATGCAATAAAAAAAACTATCACTCCTATATTGAGACGTTATTGAGTAAGGTTTGCCCTCGCAAACAGTATACTCGAAAAAACGTATTTTAAGAAAAGCGGAAAATAATTTTTTAAAAACCTTATTTTTTCCAATATGGAGGTTGAGAAAAACTTATGTAATATTCTTAAAGTTCGTCATCAAATCAACCAACTATAGTGCATTCGAGAGTAGACACTTCGCTCTATCTAACGAGCTATAAATCACAAAATTGATGAACTTGACAAAACCTGATTTTGTCTGAAGGGAGCCCCCCCTTAATCAATTTTTCATGTGCCAAAACTTGTCTTTTTAACTGAAAGGCAGAGCAAAAAGAATCTTTTTTTTTTTACAGAAATTGCTACAAAAATCAGTTAAACCTTTAACTAGAATATCTATAACTCCTGAATGATTAATTCTAAACATTTGATCATTGTACAGCTGTTTAGATCTTCCATTGACGGTTTGAACACATACTTGATAATTGAAAATTCGTTGTAAACACCTTACGGGTTAGGCTTGTTTTCAAAGAGATCGAATGAACATCTTAAGAAAAATTAGGTCAAACCAGCCTGCAACATGGAATTCGATGTACCATCTTCTCTTCTTTCAAACAATGAAAACTGTTGCTCTCTAGCTTCTTCCATTCTTGAGTTGTTGCAAAAATACTGACGGTCATTATATTTTAAACAGGCTCAAGTTTCATATAAAAACAGTTCTTAGCAAAATTTTACTATTAGGATAATAATTGAAGATTGATCAAATAGTATAGAAAATTAGAGCATTGTTTTCTCTACCATTGTATAGAAAGAGAAAACGTTTTTGAGCTTACTATTCAGAAATAAGGTATCTCCGACAGAAATTTTGAATTGACCTAAGTAGAAGCGAAAAAAAAATGAACATGCACGAGTCTTATTGCTAACAGTTGTGATGATAACAGATACGAAGAGCAGAACAGAAGAGAAAGAAAACGTTTGACTAATGTTCGTTCCTGCGAAAAATAAATTCGATCACGGTAATTCGATTATTTCAGTATTGAAAGCAGGCGTCAAAACGGTTGATAATAAATCGCAGTTTGACTAGGAAACGATCGGGTGTTGGTGTAGGTGTTCATTGTATATCAACACACACACCCATATCCACATCCTGTACTATATAGGCGTGATCGATGCGATTTCGTATAAAGTTGCTTGAGTCGAGAAAGTTGTTGTTTGAACGATGGACGAGGAGCAATAACGGGGCACAGATGAGTATAAAAAGACATCAGAGGAACGAGACTACAAGAAGTACTAAAAGATGGAGTTCGATTGGTAACAGTGAGTGGAGTGATCAAATAGTTTGAGCTTGGAATGATGTACGTTCATTCATTTAAAGAAGAATTTCAAATAAAAATTCGTGATTGAATGAGTAGAGGCAAACAAGGAGCTAAGTGAGACGCATAACATCATCAGGGTCAATGTTATTACGCTGAGGAAAGGCTGAGGATAGAGTCAAGTAGAAAATGGTATTGGTAGCCAGAGCAGTCTGAAGTTACGAATGAAATGAAAAGTGATCCTGAAGCCACTTACGAACTAGCATAAGAGTATCATCGACGGAAGCAAAAGGAAGGAGGATTAGATCTGTGCAAAGTTTTAAGAATATCCAACATTGACGCCAATATGGAAACGTGTTGTTGAAAGTAAACGGGCGCCATTTCTTGCGAAGAAAGATGATTGTGTGTTAGAAATATATATGTATACAGATTGCTTTTCTTTCTTTTAGAGAAACTTATACTAGCAGCTGATATTTAGATGACACTCACACGTCTTGAAAGAGGGACATAATCACACGCAGATCTTG